GTTTTCAGCCTCCCAAATTTCGGACCCAAAGCTTAGTCTACATGGTGCCTTAGGTGTCCAAGCTTTCCTTCCGCCAGTCCCCGTCTAGAGCAAGCCACCAAGGAAGAGGAGGCGCTCAGGACAACATTGAGAGAAAAGACTGTCTAAGTATCCATCTCAATACTCAGGGATCAGGTCTGAATTGATGTCGCTCATTCAGAATTATGGCGTACTTCATTCTTGCCATCCACTTTGGGTATTGCGCTCCGACACTCGTTCTATATTGTTCCACCCCGCTCTGACATAAATGATGCTAGGACTCGGCCAATGCTCGACTGTCGAGATGTGCCATGCATTATTTCTCCACGATACCGACAATTGTCATCGTAGGGGCTGTTTTGTTTTACTTGCTCAGCCATTTTCTGTACCGCTGGCGTCCGGAATGGACGAAACCATTCATCTCAGAACGTTCCGAGGAATGGTCAGACTTACCAGTGGAGCCAATCAAGCAAAGGGTGGGATGGGTGATCAGCCTTTTCCTCATCACACTCGTAGGGCTCGCGGCTGAGGTCGTAAAAAGAATTACAAATGGCTTGGAAGTGGTTACTATAGCTCTCCTTGTGTCATGGGTAAGATAGCCCGCATCGTTGGGGAAATTGAGCTGATTTGTCCCTCAGATAGGTGCAGCGGTCTTCATTTGTATAGCACGTCCAAGGACATGTCCAGCTTGGATGCTTGCATACTTCATCACAGAACTTGCTGTGGAATTGTCATTTATCATGAATCATGACACATACGCAGTGACAAGACTTCCTGCGTACTATGTTGCGGCTGGCGCGGCTTTGGCTGGATGTGTTACTATATTGCTCATGCCCCTCCGTGAGCCTTCAGTTCCCATTTATGATATCGCTGCTGTTGGACAGCCCTCATCCAGTGACTTTCGCAGTCCGGAAGACAACCTGCGATTGTGGCAATTTCTTAGTGTGTCATGGATGGCACCGCTCATCTCTATTGGGAAGAAAAGACAATTGGACGAGGACGACGTCTGGTTCCTCGGCTTCGAATTCCAACATCGCAGGTTACATGACAAGTTTCGTCGACTTAAAGGCTCAGTGATTGGTCGTCTGCTTCGTGCGAATGGGGTTGATATAGTGATTATTTCCACCATTGCAATTGTGCAGATGATATGCGGTCAGGAATTCTTGTGCATTTTACGGAAATATTCGCTGATTTGATCCTCAGACTTCGCGACCCCAGTCTTGTTGCAGCAACTCCTTCAAGCCATGGAGGACATGAGCTCAGGGAAACGCCCTGCCATGATCTATGCACTGGTCACTCTCGTCCTTCGTGTGGTTGCGGCGCAATCGCAAGTACTCAACCTTTGGTTCGGTAGACGATGCTATGAGAGGAGCAGAGGGGAGATGATCATGATGGTCTACGAGAAGGCACTCTCTAGGAAGAACATTTTTGAGCCCCAGTCAGAACAAAAGGATGAAGGGGCAGCAAACGGAGAGCTTGTCGAAGAAGATACCGATGATGAAGTGGAGATTTCCAAGAGAAGAAAACTCTGTGGGATATTCTCTGGGTGCCGGCAAACCAGGAAAAAGGCAGCCAAATCGGCTGCTTCGATGGGCAAGATTTTCAATTTGCTCCGTGGTGATGTCTACGAAGTCGCCCAGCGGTTTTGGGAAGTCGACTCCTTGATTGACAAACCTCTGGGACTTATCATTGCAATCGTGCTTGTTTGGAAGCTTTTTGGGCCATCATGCTTCCTGGGAATCCTAGCAATCCTGGTTGCTCAGGCTTTGAATGCCGTCATTACTCGCACACTTCTCCGTTGGGAGCGAGTGCGGAGACTCGCAACAGATGCCAGACTTCAGATAACTTCTCAATTTGTCGAAGCACTTCGTCACCTGCGCTGGTATGGCTGGCATGATCAGTGGTACCGGCAGGTTATGGATGCTAGGCAATCGGAGCTGAACCTTCGTATCATCACCAACCTATGGAGCATCCTGATTCGTTTCGTGAACACTTTTGCTAGCGGCGTGTTTCCTGTAGTGGCTCTGTATGCCTACACCCTTCTGGCTGGCCATCCTCTCCGCATTGATATAATCTTCCCTGCCTTGCAGCTATTTACTATGCTAGAAACCCGCCTCAGAGATATCCCTAGTCTCATAACGGTACTGATCAACGCATCTATCGCCGTCGAAAGAATTGAGGACTTCATGGCCGAGCCGAACAAGGAGACATCTAACACCCACCCCACCCACTCTGCTTCCATTCAACTACAGCATTGCTCATATGCTTGGCCTGGTCGAGTCGTCCCGGTGCTGTCAGATATCAATTTGAGGATATCCGAGGGTCTGACTGTCGTTTCTGGCAAGGTAGGGACCGGAAAAACGGCTCTACTTCAAGCGCTTCTCGGCGAACTGGACAGAATTGGCGGGTCTGCTCAAATCCCTAATGAGATGGTGGGCTACTGTGCTCAAACACCATGGCTCCAGAGCATGAGTATCCGAGACAACATCCTTTTCTCCTCGTCATATGATGAGCAAAAGTACCAGAAAGTTCTGGATGCATGTGCCTTGCTTCCTGATCTCGAGAATTTCGAGCATGGAGACCTTTCTTTTGTGGGTGAGAATGGCATAGGCCTTTCCGGCGGCCAGAAAGCCCGCGTCGCACTGGCGCGAGCACTTTATAGTACCGCTAGGATTTTGTTGCTTGACGATCCAATTTCTGCTCTTGATCACAACACTGCCGAGACCGTGGTTCGAAAGTGCTTTACGGGTCCTCTGATGCAAGACCGCGTCGTTGTTCTCGTTACGCATCGTACCGCGCTGGTCAGTCATATCGCCGATCAAATAGTGCATATTGAAGATGGCCGGGCTACAATTCACGGTAAACAGGCTGTGTCTATGGATTTAGCCGCTGATGAAGATGTCCAATCGCATTTAGCAAAGACAGCCGAGGCCCAAAGCGAGATTCAAGGCGCTCTTCGAGAGGCTGCGGCTTCGGCTCCAACAAAGTTCATCGAGGAAGAGCACCGTGCGGAATGGGGCGTGCAAGCCCGAGTCTATTGGAACTACATCAAGGCTGGAAGATACAGATGGTGGATTTCACTAGTATTTATCTTGGCCTTTTATCGGGTGACGTCGGTAGGACAATCGTGGTTCCTAAAGGAGTGGGGTGAAGCCTACAACCAGATTCTCCTGGTATTCAGCCATTCCACCCCCGAAGGCAGATATGCCGCAGGACAATGGGTTGTACCTTATGGGTGGTCCCAGGTGTTCCATTGGAACCCAACAGATCCCTTGGAAAAGCTGCCAGCGCCATTCGAAGACGTGCGTCCTTGGCTTCTGGCCTTCTTTGTGATAACAACGTTTCAATCGGCCATGCTTCTGTTTGCGCAACTTTTGATGCTGGTCATTGTCTACTGCGCAGGCAAGAAACTCTTTCACGAGGTCATGGTTCGAGTGAGCCATGCAACGTTCCGCTTCTTCGATGTCACTCCTATCGGCCGCTTGATGAACCGACTGACGTCGGATATCGGAGTGGTCGACGGTAATATTAGCGAACAATTTCAGGCTATTGCATTCCAAGCCATTACCTGGATCTCCTCAATTGTGGTCATAGCATCGGTGACACCAGCATTTCTCGGATTCTCCTTTGCTCTCACTGCAGCTTTCATTTTTACATTTCTCCAGTTCCTGCCAACGTCTCAAAGCCTGCGACGTCTTGAGATGGTGTCTCTCAGTCCTTTGATCTCGAATTTTGGCGAGCTCCTGCATGGTCTGACGACTGTTCGTGCATTCCACGCGGAAGAACGCTTCCAGAACAGAGTCATTGCGGTCGTAGACAAATTCCAGGGCATGGATCATTTCTACTGGTCGCTTCAAAGTTGGCTAATGTATCGATTTGAAACTCTCTCAGCTACGTCCACATTTTGCCTCACCGTTCTGGCATTATACACCAATGTCACCCCAGGTCTCGCAGCTTTTGTACTGATAGCCGCCAACAATTTTGTTGCATCCACCCATGCTTTGTGCAAACAGTATGGCCAGCTACAAATGGACTTTGTCTCGGTTGAACGGATCGATGAGCTGCTTCACATCGAGCAGGAGAACCCAGGAACCATTGAACCCCCCGCGTCCTGGCCGCGGTTTGGGCAGGACCTCACATTCGAAGACGTGACCATTCGATACGCACCGCACCTGGAGCCTTCACTCCGCAATATTTCTCTTACAATTCCCGGGGGATCGACGACGGCCATCATAGGCAGAACAGGAAGCGGCAAGTCCACGCTAGCCGTCTCACTGCTCAGCGTCATTCGGCCCGAATCGGGCCGGATCGTCGTCGACGGCATCGATATCGCGCAAGTCAATACGCAAGCGCTCCGAACCCGTGTCACCTTCGTTGCTCAAGATCCCGTTCTCTTCCCCGGTAGCATCCGGTTGAATCTCGATCCGACAGGTGAATACTCAGACGAGGAGTGTGCAGATGTGCTGAAGCGTGTCTGTAGTCGGCATGGCTGGAATTTACAGACGCACGTTGAAGCCGGTGGCCGCAACCTCAGCCAGGGTGAGCGGCAGCTGATCGGTCTCACGCGGGCCGTCTTGCGTCACAGTCCGATTGTCATTCTCGACGAGGCCACAGCGTCTATTGACCATGAAAGCTCCCTTGAGATCCAGCAGGTCATAAGGGAGGAACTACGGGAGTCGACGGTTATCACCATTGCGCATCGGTTGGAAGCAATCAAGGACGCGGATTACTATGTCGTCCTAGATCAGGGACGGGTGTCAAAGCACGGTTATGTCAACGATAAAGGTACTTCTCAGATACAGTCATAGACGGGGAGGATTAGAAATTATGTTTTAGAATTACGACTACAAATCGTTCTCAGGATACAACCAACATCAAACATCTCTGTACACTGTAATTGGCAAGTTAAAGAAGTGAACCATCACGGTAAGATGCAAAACCCCAGGTAAGGCCACCACAAGACATGAGGAAAATCCAAACAACTAAACCCACCCAAGCACCAACAAGACATGAGCCACCACCCGCAGGCAAACAAGCAGCAACATACTCCAGCAAGCCCCATCACACACCATACTTTTCCCCGAGCCAACGTTAACAGCACCCGTCGCAGTGGCACCACTCGAGCTCACAGGCCAACCGCTCGCTGCAGGACTCCCACCAGACACAGCCGAAGACACCACAGCAATGGAACCGGTCCTACTCGGAGAAGCACTCGCCACCCCATATCCTGAAGATGCAGATACACGCTGACGTCCTGCACCATCGGAAAAAACGACCTGTAGGACCGGTACCGTAGTCACCGCCCTACCGTCAACACAGTCGCCCAGATTCCATGGATTATATGGCAGGAAGCAGACTGTTCCGTCAAGCGACGCTGGAGACGGGAGGAGGGTATTGATGCCCCTTTTCACTCCGGGAGGCTCAGAGACGTGTACGGCGTCGATGTCAGCCTGCGTTCGGGAGGGACTACCTGCTTTATCGCAGAATATACCTAGGGCGAAGAGAGGTGACTCCCAGGTCCCGCAGAGGGTTGTCTCGGGGATGTGAGAGACCTCGCCGTCGATCGAGTATCCCGTGCCGTTGAAAGCGCAGACTGCGTCTCCTGCGTGTTTGGATGATTCGTGACCTGGTACCCTCGTTAGTGGATATGCAAGGAAGTAAATCCAGTCCCTGGGGGCCCCTGGGGGACGTACAAACTGCCGCGCCGGTGTAGAGTGGTGGGATGAATCTCGAGAGCCTGGATAGCCGGTTAGTTGTTTGCTTGCGGAAGTGATCAGGGGCTTGAGTACATGGTATTGCAGGATCGGACTTCGATCATGGTCGTAGACACACAAGATATGATCGTCGAGCCCTTTAGCGAGCCTTCTGGGCAGTAGCTTCCCCCGGGTTTAGAGCAGATGAGAGTGTCGCTGGTAGGGTCGCTGCTGGCTGTCAGCTTTTTTTGTCTTATGAGTATCAAATGGTAGGAAGGACGAGGGATGAAGTGTACTATTTGACTTGGGCCCTGGCCAGCTCAAGAAGCATGAGACTCGCGCATAGGAGGAGGATCATGGCTAGATACGTCTTCATGGGCGCCAGGGCTTGGTAACGGTATGCTTGAAGTTAAGTCGTCGATTGAAACTGTAGATTATAGTCTTAATGAATAGTATGGACAAAGTGGCAGTAATTGCAGAGAGCTTGAACTAGAACTAGGCTGCTGAGGCAATGTTTGTTGATAACACGCGTCGTGGTTGAGCAGTGAATGAAGCGCGGAAGATGCCGTTACTTTTCAACATGAGCCCATAGCACAGTTCATCTTTGAACCTTCACAATCTAGGAGGCTGACACCTCCATAACTCCTAGGGTTGACTAGATAGAAACACCAGGAGATGGAATGAAGAGGAGTCAAGAGCAGCCACTTAGGGACACCAGCAGGCAGAAGCTGGGCTGAGCTGGGCAACCTTGCTGAGACATGGAGGCATTCGATAATGGAACTCTACCCGGACAGGAAATGGACGAGAGTGACAAAAAGAAGAGAACAAGATCAAAAGGCAAAACGGAACGGGCCATAGACACCCATCTGTAGGATGTCCATGACCAGATCCGTCCCGGTACCGGTACCTGTATAGCTGGAAAAGGAGCTCTACAGGCACCAGAACCGTATTCGAACCGGAGTCTTCGATGGTTACAGAAGTCCTGCAAGAATCAGTGCTGAAATGACTGACGTTGACCCCTGCACCATCTGCCCCGGTTCCTTGAGTGGTGCTGTTGCTAGAGACCTATGTGTTGCCCTTGATTGCCGAATCAGGTAAGGTACGGGCAGATATTTACCTGGAGAATATGGCGTTGAGATGCTGCCTGAGGCTATGAAAGCATGCTGACACTGGCTCCTAACTGCGACTCTGCAGTCGACATGTATACCTCCGGCGTCTTAACACACCTACTTATACTGTCATGTGGAAAGGACTATGTCAGCACCGATTCGTCTCGTAGAAGTGTGCTTACCAGTCACCTGTGGTCAGACGACGTTCACTACATACGAATGAAGATAGTGATCATAAGATATGGTCGATTCCTTGTGGAAAGCTGCTGTATCGAACTCTGACTCTTATATAGAATATGGTATCTGCAAGGACATGAATGTGATATAGGTCTATATGTAACAGTTGCAGACCTGCCAGACAGTATAAACTGACAACCGAAGCCTAGACAACAACTTTTGATATCAACAACCCATCAAAAACGCCGTATGCGCCTGGAATGCATCAAGACACAAACTATGAGGAGTGGTTTGCCTTCCACTTGCGAATCCTCCGCTTCAAATCACCCTCGCTCTGTTGCATGGGGTTTAACTTCCTATCACGAGCCATGGCGCTGTAGTTGTCTCCATGACGCTCGATCAATCTCATAATCCATTCCTCCTCCTGCTTGCTCTGGTGCCGGGGCTTTTTGGCCTTGACTGCCTGCCCTTCTTGGTCTGCCTGACGTTCCAGCATTTGAACAATTGCGCTCTTGGCATTGGCTCTCTGTGACGCGGGTTGATCGGCTGCCTCATCCTCAGACAAGTCGTTCAGTGGGTCGTTGAGCGGATTCGAACGTTTGATTTTGCGGCCGCCCACTTCGATCTCATCTTCGTCACGAATCACTCGGATGATTTTGCCTGTTTCCGGGTCGCGTTCCACCTTAGTCTCCCCCATGGCTGCCTGCTTTGCGGACGCTTTGGCGCTGCCCCTGATGTGGAGGGGATCCTCGGGTACCTCCTCGATGCGCCCATCTTTGGTTGGCCGTTTTTCGCTACCGCCAGCTGGAGCATTGAGTTTGTGAACGAGTCCCAAGCGGCGGTAGTTTTGTGTCAGAGTCAATTTGCGGTCCCTATTGCAGTGAAGGCCACGTTAGTTGTTGATCTTCGATCGATTCTAAGAATTGGTAGTTCTTACCAATTTTGAGCGATAATGGCATTTCCCAGGACGTTGATCTTCTTCTTGCCGCTCTTCAGCTGCCCAGTCCTCTTGGGCTTCTGTTTCGGCGTCGAGGACCGGTTTTTCTTCTTCTGTAGCACACGACCCATCCTTCTTATTCCCTTGTAGCGATGATTCGAAAAAGTGGTGGACGATAAAATTCCATAGCGGTTCAAAGTCTTATCGATTTCTCCGAAACTTTTTAATGTTTGCATCTGGAGGGCTTGGCGTGTTTGTCGACAATAGCTCCACTGATAACGAGCTGTAACAAACTAGCTGTCTGATATCTCTCGTGCTGGCTTAATCAGGGTATTATCCTCGAGTGTCTCTGCCCAATTGCTCACTGCTACAGTCCAGAGTTTTGCGACAGCGATGGCACTCCGTTTATTCTCTCCTGCGCGCAGGACCGGCCTCGCTCTTGTCGCTGGCCTTCTCTTATTCGCTGTGCTGGCGGCTGCGACTGCTGGCAGTGGAGACAAGATCACTGTGGGCGACCTTTCCGTAGCGGAAATCGAAGACAAATTGCAGGTAAATTGCGCCTCAAGCTTCTAGTCATTTGTGATCATTAGCAGTTAGTGGATAGAGGCTGACTTGCTCAGGAATGTCCACTTGTGGAAGCTCTCAATGAGCACAAGCGTGCAACCAGCCCACCAACAGCCAGTATGATGTCGAGAATCTTTGCGATCCTCTTCCCTGGCAGTCCCGCCGTCAATGCAATCCTGGCAACTGTGTACATTTCCGGACCTCCCAGTATGCGTCTATTGAGAAACCATGTCATTGTCGTTCCCCATCTAACAGGTACAGACTTCCTCCTGGCACTATGTCCACCCAACATCGATCCCTCGTCTCTGTCCGTCATGGTCGCTTTCGCCGTTGGAGGACTTTTAGGTGACACTTTGTTTCATCTTCTCCCTGAGATCTTCCTAGGCGAGGACTCCCCGGAGCACGTGCGCTTCGTCATGGTCGAACCCAACAGGAATCTCCTCCTCGGACTAGGGATCATGGTCGGCTTCTTCACCTTCGTGGCCATGGACAAGGCCCTCCGCATCGCAACAGGAGGCGAAGGCCACGCCCACTCGCACTCCCACGCACACACCGACGGCTCCTCCCACGGCACAAGCACCAGTTCCACCACTAACACCGCCAACACCGAGCTCCGCAAGCGCAAACCCGACTCCGCCGCCCCCGCCACCAAGCAAGAACCAGAAGACGAGAAAGAAATCAACCCCAGCGTCAAACTAGGAGGGTACCTCAACCTTATCGCCGACTTCACCCACAACATCACCGACGGCCTGGCAATGTCCTCCTCCTTCTACGCCTCCCCCACCATCGGCGCAACCACAACCGTCGCCGTCTTCTTCCACGAAATCCCCCACGAAGTCGGCGATTTCGCCCTCCTCATCCAGTCCGGCTTCTCCAAGCGCAAGGCTATGGGCGCGCAGTTCGTCACTGCCATCGGTGCGTTCCTTGGCACATTCATCGGGATCGCGATCCAGGAGTTGGGAGGCGGACACAGTGCGGCGTCCGGTGGAGTGACGGATGCATCGGCAGGGCTGCTGGGGACGAGTCTCACCTGGGGCGATATGCTCTTGCCTTTTACTGCAGGGACTTTCCTCTACGTCGGGACTGTGTCAGTCATCCCGGAATTGCTCGAGACGGGCAAGGATAAGACACTCGAAATCAAGAAGACGATTGTGCAGTTCTTGGCTGTTGCTGTCGGGGCGGGAATTATGCTTGCGTGAGTACTGGATTCCGGCTTGTTGTGAACGTTGAACTAACTCGTTTTGCTATGCAGTATCTCCTGGGATTGAGGTGTGTGGTTCGTACGATTTGGTGGCGGCAGCATATTAGACGGATATACTTTATGGGGCATGGTGATAGATGAAAAGTACTTGAAAGGACGCAGATGCAGTCGATATCCGACAAAAAATAAAATTGCATGTAAACGATCTAGCTCCGTGCATCTAAATAACCAATGTGAAGGACGTGCGGACTCCGCATGCCACAATGCTGGCGCCAAAAACTCCATCCACCACATGAGATCTGAAAGATTTTAGTCTAAATAGTAACGAAAGTTGCGCACAGCGCGCTCAATGTAACGCATATTGCGTCGTGCAAGAATGGTCTAGTATAACATCGTTGCCCAGAAAACCACATCACTCGTTTTGGTGGTATACCTTCAAGCAGCATTAGCATCCCACGAGTCATCCCAAAGGAGAAAAAAAAAGGCAACTTACAAAATAATCCGGCAGCCCATGCACGGAGTACCCCAGCCGCTTTGCCATCCTGGCGAAGCCCTCCGTTTCGACCAGGTGATAGAAGGGAAAGGCAGGGAACATCGCGCCGTCACGATGCACCTCCGCCTTGACCATGAGCGCCGTGCCGCCCACCCCGTCCAGCTCGATGGCCTTCTTAGGGTTCGGATTAGTTGTATCAGCCAGATAAGCCATCAGCGTGCGGTAGGTCGGCATCTCGGCGTAGCCCTCGAGGAGAATCTCATCGGCCCCCATCTCCGCCGCCATGCTCTGCGCCGTACTACTATCGATCCACGAGTTGTAGTCGTACGGCCGGACATCCATCTTCTTCTTGTCGGAGTTGTAGTACCGCTGGTAGCAGTTCGGGACGAGGACGGGGTAGTCGTGCGCCGTGAGGTCCTGAATCAAGGTCGGCGGCGTCTCGACGATATCCGCATCGAGCCAGAGAACCCAAGCCGTGGCGGGGCCGAGCGTGGTAAACAGCAGACTGTTGCGGGCGCGGCTCATGGACTCGCGGCGCGCCTTCTGGTTCGCCATTTTGTGCCGCTCCTTCTCGTCCTGCGACTGCAGGGGCGGTTCGAAGTCCTGGCGGAGGATGGAGATGCTCGCGAACCGCTTGTCAATGGGGCCGGACTGCGTCTTGGCGATGGCGTCTTCTAGTGCGGCCAGGGCCGCATTCCCCTCTTTGTTCTTGGGGATGATGAACCCGATCGAGATGAGCTCGTGCGGGTAGGTCAGTTTCACCACGTTGTCCCAGTACTCCGGGACGAAGCGGGCCATCGGTGTGAGGATCAGGATTCTTTCGCCGTTGGCAACGGAGTTGGTGGAGCTGCTGAGCTTGTTCAGGTCGTACTGCACGACCGGGGGAGGGGCCTGTTGGCCATCTTGGCGGACGGGCTGGGATTTGAAGAAAGGTTTCGTCGGAGGTGAGAGGGGGTTTTCGGCGGCGTCGTCTTCGCGGCGTTGCTGGGAGGAGGAAGAGGAGGAGGCGGAGCCTGCGCTAACGGGGGAGGCAGAGGATGTCGAAGGGGAGAGCACGAAGATGACGAATCCAAACGCCAGTATGGCCGCAAGAAGGAGAGTGATTGGATTTGTGCGTCGCATTGTGCGGACGACGGCCAATTGCAGGCCGTATCGACCGGTGCAAACGAGCGAGGGGAAGCAGGAATCGGTAGGGTTGAGTTGGTGAGGATGCGAGCTGGCTCTTGGAAGTTGGAGATGTTTGATGAGGACAGGTCGAAAGATCTGGACCAGCGGAGATGTGGGTATAGGGAGATAATACTTAGCCAGCAACAAAGTCAATTCTCGACCTGCGCCCCGACATAGCGAACTTGACAGGGGATAGGTTAGATTCGAGGTAATCGTGCAGGGAGAGTCGATGACGGACGAGAACTGGCGATGATGAGAAGATGAAGCGACGGCCAGGCCTGTGTCTTTCCCGCCCTGACCTCACTGCGTTGTGGCCGGAAAAGAACACGCGGACCGACATTGCAGCAGAATCGGAGCTCAATCTCCCTCGAACTGGTCGATCTCTGAACCCACACGTAGCCAATGAGCGTCAAAAATATTTGCCTTCGACGTTGAAATGTGGACCTGAGCCCAGACGCCTGGCCCTGCGCGAGGTATGCTGAATGCGGAAATGTTGCACTCAAGCTGACCTCCGCCGTGGCACCTTCAGCACCGATGATCTTGCTATAAAACGACGCACTAAGTTCATTACCAATTGGCTTTTGGTATCTCATTACGCTATATACAAATGGTCGTCTAGTCTATTATGGTTCGTCTGCCTGATTTACCTGATTACATCAGGCTCACGGCAGCGACCGCATCACGCCTTCAAATGCAACCAAGGCCATCGCATTCGCCGGGAATGCTCGTAAGAAACAGGGCACAAAACCCCTCCAGTACCCTCTCCACCCTCGCTCATGATAAACCGCCCTAGCAGCATCTTTCCACCGGCGGAACTTTCTTTCCCCATCACCTAGCGCCCCGCCCATTGGGTCCGTCATCAGTCGCTGCTTGACCACATCGGACGGGTACGAGGTCAACCAGAAGATCTGTGCCGATATACCCCCGGCCCAGAAATTGATTACTGGTGCTGACATCGCGGTGTTGTTTTTCATCCATCGCGTCAGCACGTCGTAGGAACCCCACCAGAAGAAGAAGAACGATCGGAAGAGAATTGTCGCACAGAGGCCGCGGTATAACCCTGTGATACCGTGAGTGCGCAGCTATGCTGCAGTCAGCCGACGCTCGCTTGCAGCACTGGGGAGCTCTCATTGACTTACAAGCTTTTTTAAGCAATCGATCGGCCCGCTGTACATTCGCTTCGCCTTATCCGCCGCATACTGAATCTGCAGCCGCGCCTTGATGTGCTCTACCGGAGCCGCTATGAAGCTGACAGTCGTACCGGCCAAGATACCGGCTATCCCATGTCCGAAGCTGGGGAGTGTTTTGAGATCAGGCTGGTAGCTCGCAAACGGCGTGAGAGACCGAATAGCGGGCTTCGAAAAGACATTCTCGAGCAGTAGTCGTCGGTACAATGTCAGGGAACCGAGCATGCTATCCGATGGGTCAGACCCAAATCATCCATCGCATCCATCAAGGACAAAGGTACTCACACAGAGTCCATAACCATCCAACCGACCAGCGGTGGCGTGGCTCCCTTGTACAGCCCACTCACACCCTCCTTCCGTACCGTCTGTAGTACACAGTCTAACGGCCCCTTGAAATGTCCTTCTTTGCTCGTTTGTAATCGCACCTTTACCGTATCGAAACTAGCACATGTCCATCAGCCATAGAACAACGTATTAGGAGTGCCCTGGTCAGTCACATACGGATGCCCAACTATACCATTAAACAAATATTAGCTCAGCCCTAACGTCACCAACTAAAGTCCTCCTGCTCAAGTGGAAAAGACGACGAACATACCACTCAATTTTGCTATTCCCGAAAAAACCCCCGCTACAAACCCCTTATAGTCGCTCTTCTTCGCGGTCGAAACCGACGGGCCGGCAACCACACTGGGTGTGCTCTGGCTTCCGATAACCATATCGCCGGGGACCTTTGCGTCTACCGGCGAAACCAACGCTTCGACTGACGGCATCTACGTGGACTTCAGATTCCCCGGAGTAGTACTCAATGCCTACAGTCCGCGTTGACAATGTGCAATGTGTGGTAATGCGACTGATAATTGCGAGGTACAATATTAGAATTCCGCGGCGATATCGGAGATTGGGCGTATGGGCTGTCCCATTGAGCGCGGTGCTCTGCTCAAACGGATGAATGATAGAATCGAGGGTTCGATCGACTTCGTAGTGAGCAAAGCATGAAATATACTTCGATTGCCCCTCGCAGGAACGGAGGAGACAATCGAGTCGACCAAAGTAGGATGGAAGGTCAGGTTATAAATCTCGATGGGGGGAAGCCTTGCGCCCGCAAATCTGTGGTGCGGATTTCGGGGAGAGGTCGCCCAGCTCCGGAGAGCACCTTAAGTCTTAAGTGGTCTTGGCCGATCTCGCGTCATAAGTAAAGGTATCAACTAACTATCAAGATTTGAACAGTGGCCACTTGGTTGACGGACAGTGCAGTGTTTGAAGCATAATTTCAAGTCATGTGGCAGTCTGAGAATGTCTAACAATATACCGATCTAGCGATATTCAGGACGCAGTACGTAAAATCACAACCGAAGCAAAGTTCCCCGCAAGTAGTCGAAGCCAAGGTACAAAGATAGAGGTAACATGAGAAATTCTAAGTATTGCCCCTTTTGAATCCAATTTCAGCATCACTCTTGAGTCAAGCATAACAATCTGTTCTAGCCATGTCTGAATGTTATAGGAGACAGGATATAGGAAAAGAGCGGGTCTGGGTGCCACAGGTGACATGTGCAAAGCATTAAATCAAGGCTGTATGGGGTATAAAATGAACGCAAAATAATACAAGCTGAATTGAGCTCTCATGCGAGAGCCCATCTGACAGATGTGGATTAATGGGAAATTTGGAAAAGAATGAAAAAAGATGCAAGCTTCCATCCTGGAAAACCGGCCAGGACGTGAAAGACGGCGCTGATCACCAATTCTTGGAGCTCTTTCGCGACTTCTGGCGAGCCCGGTCGGCTTCGCGAGCAATGAGCTTCTCAATCAGATCTGGCGCAGCGCTGGAGCTTTGAGAGTCGCTTGACGAGAAGTCTGAGCTCGTTGCACCGATGGTCAAGTAGCCACCGGTCTCCTCCAGAGCCAATGGAGTCACAGGTCCCGGGCTGCGTAAAGGGTCTAGCCTTGGGGCAGAGGGACTCGGCGAGAGCGGTCGAGAGGGTGCCCTGGAGAGAGTGACGCTTTCCACCAATTCTCTGTATTGTCTCAGCGTGTCACGAGAGCTTGAAGAGGTCCAGTATGACTGCTGTCGGGAATGCCGGGGCGACGGAGGTTGTGCGGCCAAACTCTGGGTGTTGTTCGAAGGCTGGTAGACAGCGGGATGGAACCGAGGCAGACTGCCGAGATGGAAGGCTGGCACAGACTTGGCCGAGTTGTGAGGGCGGGAGCGTGGTGGCTGTGGAGATGCGGAGCGGGTTGAGGGTGACATGCTGGGCGACATGACCGGCGAATAGAACGAGGAGCTATCAGAACGCATTCTGGAGGATGGCTGATGGTAGGAAGGGCGGCGATAGCGGTCACTGTCCAGCCTTGACACACTCTCGCGGTTCCTCCAAGACTTGGACTGATCAGACTGCGGGAAATAGTCCTTTTCAAAACGCCCGGTCAACGGGGTGACGGGCAGATCTGAATCGTAAGGACTACTCGACGGTTTTGGTATGGGAATTGGACGCGAGGCAGAACGGCTGAGGACAAGAGTATCAGACAAGTCTGAAATTTCCGAGGCGGGCGAGCGAGGAGACAGCGGCGATGGTGGATTATATGTGGATGAGGTCGCTGTCAGGTCACGCAAGGACGACAGTGAGACTCGAGTGGGGTGACCGTGCTTGGCGATCAGGTTTTCCAGTTGATCTCGGGCTGAAGCTGTTGAAGGACGATGCGAGGGTGACCAGGAGGGCGGGGAGAGATTGGCTAAGAGCACGCGATCAGCGAGAATGACCAGAGAAATGAACCAGACATGCCACACGTGTAGGGTGGAGATTGTGTCGACGGTGCCAACACAAAGGGGGAAGTAAACAAATCATTGAAAAGGGATAAGATGAAACGCGGACCGTCCGCATCTAATAATGCCAATGAGAGCAACGGATAGTCCGCTAGGAGAAGGTGGAGAAGAGGGGTAAAAGATGCATCTGTATGGACGGATGGAGTGGCCGCGGGCATGCGCTTGAAGATAGACGCAGAGGACAGAAACAAACGGACAATTACTTACTGCTGAGCAAAGGGGGAGAGTGGATTGAGCTCCAGGAGGACGGATAGAGAGAAGAGCTTGAGGACGAGGAGGCCGAGAAGGAGGATGGTGGAGAGGCTGCCATTGAGGCTTTTATCCTTTTCCTTCTTAGACGAGGATAGTTCTGTCCCTGGCCGCGGGAAAGATGAGCCCACATCAGCGTGCTTGCCCAACTGGGTAAGGGTGGAGAGAGACGGGAGATGACAACAAGGAAGAAATTATGGAACCAGGTACAGGAACGGGTATCGAAATGATCTCCTCTGGGGTGCCCCCGTTTCTTCTCAGACGCAGCAACCGCCGACACAATTCTGAAGAAGACGAGTTTTCTTGACTAGGTAAGAGAGACGGATGTGCTCGCTTCTCCATACAAGGAAACAAGTGCAGTGATTCCATCATCATCTTGCGGGGAAGCGATCGAAGGAAAATCACATAGCCAAAGAGGGCCATCAAAAATTTCCGACAACAAAACAAGTCGTGACATGGCGTCATGGCGGAGCTGCGGGTACCTGGCAAAGAATTGGGTGGACGGAGGGCCAGTATGTTACGGTACGGTACGGATACCGCCCATGGTACTACCCTTGACCCCCGGGTATTGGCGGATTTGCCCCATTCTTTGCCCAATCCAGCATCCACCACGCAAGGGGTAAAGCGAAAGAACAAGGACATGCATGCCTTCTCCCAAGGCAGATGGAGAGTCCAAAAGGCAGAAAAGGGTGTTTCAATGCAGAGACAGTGGATGCAGAAGACATATCTCACTCACCTGCGACATGATTGCAAGCCTCAGTCAAATGATCCTGGCAATGGTGACCGTAGCGGGTCGAATTTCTCCCTTTCCCAAAAGCTGATTGGTTCCTGATTTGGCAAGCATCCGACGGGCGCTATTTTCAGGTCGCTTGCCGTACGAACCGAAAATAGGAAGAAGGCCAAATTAGAAACTAGGCGATGACGCAGTCCAGGAGATTTGTGGCTTGGAAAAATGTTGGTTTAAGTGATTAATCAATGACGACCTGCCAGGGAAAACGAGCGGGTTTGCAATCAAAGTGTTGAAGATCCGTTGTCAGTGGCTTTTTAGGAAATGAAGAGGAAAGGTAGAGGCAAGGTAGGTAGGTAGGTAGGTAGGTAGCATAAATGCATAACACAGACGACGCATATGTCAGGTCGTACGTGGTCTGACAGATGCAGGACGACGAATGAGGGGCTTAGTCAACTGGGCCTGTCAGACGGCTTGGACTAGGCATCAGCAAGACAGTGCACTACACTGTCTTTGTAAGGACAGGACGAAAGAAGGAAAGGTCTCAGCTGTGGCTGACAATCTTGCCCGAGACCCAAAGAGATTCTACAACACTCTGCGCCAACGAGACAGGGTGAGCTCTGTCCTTAAGAGCTAATCGGTTGCCTTTAGGAGCGTCGGGATTTGTCTGCACCATTCACTAGGTTTCGCAGATAAAGGAGCATTGTAACCACACGCGCAAGCAGCGGGTGACCCCGAACCCTACTCACTGAGCTAAAAAAAAAAAAAAAAGGTGTGGGAAAAAACAAGGCAGAGGCAGTCATCACAATCAGCGTCACAATAAGTGAGTATGAGGACTCACTTGAGAATTATGCTGAATAGCTGGATGACTCTGAATTTTACTGGATTTGGACATGGATTGAGACCGTTTCCCACCATCAAAGGAGCCTAGAAACCGATAGTGGGACATGGTCGATCTGCCGGGGTCAACAGCGAAGATGACTGGCAGACTGGCAGTAAGAGGCGTACGTACGGATACTAGCTGAGACCTACTTTTTGGAGGTAGGTTGGCAAGGAGTACTGAATAATGCTGAATGAATAGAACAATGAGTATAGACCAGGTTGAGTACTGCTGCTAGTGTCGGTGCGAGGTTTCCATCCTGATGCTGGAGTCGAACTTGACTCATTGCAGACACAAGCTCTGTTCATACAAGCAGCTAGGAGGACCCAATCAAATCACTTTCATCGACCACACTAGCTACCTGAGTCGAGTCAGGGAAGAGGAGTATTAATATTTGCTTTTCCGAAGACGGTCTTCCTTCCTGTCGAGGCTATTATGGTTCTGATCACCACCATCCACAGGGTATCTGAATCATCCACCTAGCAAGGCGATCAGCCGACTCGCCCACCTCCACAGGATGATCCACCCCCGCTTGAGCGTCCTTGAGGTCTGCACGTTAGGATTTTTCTGGCTAATTCACCATCTAGTGCATCATATCTCAAACAAGGTCCAATAATCATGAGCGGATGTCTGTTCCAAGTATCTGAAAGACGAGCGATGACCAAAATGGTTCATTGCCACTGTATGTCCTGGGAAGTGATATCCGACAGAAGAAATAAGTGCGAAGGCAACCTAACGAGTATCCATCTACTCCGTACCTGCTGCGAGATGCTGATTGGGGTGCACCCAAGACTGATCGACTACACTGTCTGAGTTGAAGAGCTCCTGATGTCTTGCTACACAATGGGTGCGATTGGTAATAGACTCGACCACTCAACCTTCATGGCTGGGAAAATCCCCTGCGCAAAGTTACAGTCAACTGAACGCGCCAATCCGCTGCGCTCTTCCCAGATTCCAACAACTCAATCACAGCCTCGCAGCAGTTCGGGCAAAGCTAAGCCGTGCAAAGCAGGGAGGGCGATGCAAGACATTGCACCGTCTCGCATTCACACAGTCTCGTGCTACACATAGCTCCCTCTTTCTATTTTAGCACGAT